TGCATTGGCTTGTTTAGTTTACACTCGAAGTAGATTGGTCTCTCTAAGCGAGATCCCAATTCGTTGGTCATCCGATGTGACGTCGAGAGTGACCGACTGAAAGGGAACTGGTTTGAAGAGGGAGGAGAAAGACTTCTTGGATCATGGTCAAAAATAGGGTCAAGAAGAATGTTCGACCAAAGTGGAGGAAATATAGCAGAAAAGGTGAGAGAGTGTTGTTAAGCAGTGAGAGATTGCCAATCAATTAAAAAGTGTTGTTTGTGAAGTTGAGGAAAAAAAAGTGTTACGCTATCAGAGACAGGCCTGATAAAAGCAAAGTACAGAGCAAAGGCAAAAGTTGCTAAATGTTATTTGCTCATAAGGGGTGTGGTTCATGCTTGTAGATGTAGATAACACAGAGTTTGAGGCTACAGCTGTGTTTGTGAGTATTTGTAATGTAATGCCAGATGAGCTAATGTCAGGCTTAGCACATCAAACACGTATGAGTAAAAGAATCCAGACTGCATATTGACTATATTACAGATAGACAATAACACTTTCAAACTAATTCATATTTGATTTTTTAAATGTCTTTATGAATAAAAGATTTAATGTTATTGTAGCTTTTGGCTTATTTTTTATGCTTATTTGTTGTTGTTGTTGTTTTTTGTAGGATATTTTGCTATTTTATTGATAAGGAAATTGCAGAGAGAACAGGAAATGAGGGTGAGGTGAAGATTAGGACATAACCAGGGTCAGATTAGAACCTGCATATCTTGCATGAGTAGCACATCTCAATGTGCCTGATGTGTCTGTGTTTAATTATAACTACAACATTGCTTTCTACTGTATGTCCCTGTGGTTTCTGATCCTCTCTTCTTCTCAGGTCGTGGACAGAAAGAGGATCCTGCAGTGAATGCAGTGGTGTGTCATTCTCCTTTCAGTAACCTGGGTTACTGTCGAAAAGGCAGTACACTTTCCGTCAGTGTGGCTTTCCAGATACTCCGAGCAGGTCTTTTTGAGGTAAAAAGTCATTACGTGTGTGTGTGTGTGTGTGTGTGAGATATGAGCAATTCAGTATTTTATTTCACTTCCTTCAACAAAACCAATGAGTTACATTACTGGATCTACACACCTCAATATCCGCTATTCTATTCTATTCTCTGTCTTTAGTTGAGTCAGCACATGAAACTGAAGCTACAGTTCACAGCGTCCGTGTCCAACCCTCCCCCTGATGCTCGTCCTTTGTCCCGCAAGAACAGTCCGTCGAGTCCAGCGGTCATATAATTTAAACAAATCTTTGAATGACTAATGAACATCTAATTTCAAAAACCTTGCAAACTTAGTCGAATCCAGCTGTGAGATCTTGTGAAATGTGCATTTGTATCCTGCATGATCACGTGTTCTCTGCGTGACTTTCGGTCCGTGCGAATTGAATGCTGACAGGAGGAGAGTTCAGCTTCACTGGAGACGCGCGATCGACAAACTTTAAACTCGTGATTTCAAATTATGCTGCGCTTCATGCTTTTGCTGTCAAAAAAACAATATCGGTCGACCACTAATAAATCAGAAAAAAACGCGCACGCGCGCGCACACACACACACACACACACACAGAGAGAGAGATGATCTTCATTTATTTCACTTGATGTAAATATGGTACAATCTTACAGTTTCTCACATCACTATACACACTATATATGAATTATATATGTTTAACAATAATTTAATATAGCAGTAAATTTCTTTTTTTGTGTGTGTTTTTTTATATTTCTATTCTGTTTGGATTAAGACAGCATTTTTAATAGTAATTAAAAATATTTTTAAATTAATTTTAAAGGTTTGATTTTACTTACATTTACATTTACATTTAGTCATTTTGCAGACGCTTTTATCCAAAGCGACTTACAATTTGGGGATACATAAAGCGATTCTTCTTAAAGAGGCAAACAGATACAGGAAGTGCTTGTAATACCAAGTTTCTAGACATTG